GGAATGGAAGGATTTATAAATCCTTCCATTCCCCACCATCCAGTCAGAGCTGAAGCAGCTTCTTGGATGAGAAGCAAAACATCTTCAAAGAAAAAGCAGTGTTGAAAGGCTGGAAAACGCCTTTCTTCTGAGGGCTCGATTTTCCTGCTGGGAGAACTCTGGTGCAAGGATAAAGACAACTGCTTGGAAGCTGGTTCTTTTTATTTTTCAGGAAGGCAAGAGATAGCAAGAAGTCTGCGTTCCTGGGGCTAGCCATCTTTGTATAATAAACCCCTGATTTTTATACTTTTTTTCTCCTTTTGTGTGTGAGTGCTTGTGTTTGTATTTCTTAATGTTTTAAATCCTGTCAGGGGTTGTCTTCATTTCCGCCGGAGGGCAAACTCTGCGGGGTGGTTTGATTGGATTATCAGTTTCGTCCTAATGTTTTCTTATATTTGTTTTGTGGCAATCTCCTGTCTGCTATGGAATTTATTTCGTGTCTTTTGTCTATTTGTTTTGCTGATTTGGCATGAACTGTTGTTTGTAAGGGATTTCTTTTTCTTGTTTCCCTAGCTTTCTTAATTACTTGGCTTTTGTCTAGGGGGCTTCTTTCAATACCTTTTATTAAATCTCTTTTCCTATGCAAGTTTGTTTTATGGCTGGCCTGATGTTCCCTTTGGGCTTTTCCTGCTTGGGTGTCACCACTGTCCTCATGAAGTTCCCTTTCCACAGCAGAAAGTCCAGTTGCCTCTTGAAAAAGCACCTTTGGAACAACCATGACCTGCATGACTGAGAATCTCCATAGACACCTGCCAGCTACTGTATTCCTGTGGAGGTTAAAACAGGTGTCCCTTTATAGAATTAGATGGTGGAGGAGAGAAAAGATGATTTCAAATCTCATGAGAGCTATTGGTCTTTCTGCCACCCGAGATTCTCGCACAACTTTCTGCTCTGTGCTTGTTATGTTTCAAGGCCGGAGAAGAGGAGCAGGGAGGTTGGTTGACTGTTGCTGTACAGTAACTGCTGGACTGAGGGAGGCTGCTTTTGCTGACCCACCCCTTTCTCACCACGGGAGAGGGGTGTCATTGATGCCGCTCCAGGGGGGTGCCTGTCCTCTTTTCCCCCACCGTTCTCGGAGGGATGAAGGCAACTCAGAATAATGCCAAGTGTGGGCGTTGGGACTTCCGGCTGGGGAAAAGCGCTTGCTCGCCTCCACTGTGGCAGAATGTTTAGGGATGTAGGAGTCATGAAGGCCCTCTGATCAGATGGGAAGATTCCTTTAACAACTGCCCATGCGGCAATGATAGTCAGGATAATCGTGCATTTGGGAAATTGGGATCGTTCTTTCAGAGTTAATATTCATACATTAATCCGTGTTTTGAAGTGAAAGCATTCTCAACAAGCTCCTCCTGCCTTAGATGTGTCCCTCTTTCCATTTTTTTGTAGTTATCTATAAGGAATGTAAGTCACCTAACAGTTATTTGGGTTGGAAATATATTAAACCAGGATAGACATTTTAATACTTCCTCTTTAAGGGAAAGCTAAAAGTGTAATTGGGTGTGGTTTCTCAAATGGCCATAAGATGGAGCCAGAAACCTGGGTTGTTTATAGTCTTAGTCTCAGAAGAGAGTGTGTCTCAGTGAGTCTCTGTTTTGTTCTGTTGGAAAGTTTTGCCATTCCTGTATTGACCACTATTCCTGGATTTGATGTAAGTCTGAAACTGAACTGTTTTTGACACTGGACTTTGTTATTGGATTATCCCTGGACTGAAAATTGACTGATTTAACCTGCGAATGACTTTGGACTGCTTTTTTTAAAAAAATAATTTTTTTTTATTTTTCAATAACAAGCATAAGCATACATAACAAAATAAACATAAACATAACACAAAAAACATAAAAATATCCTTCTTCATAAATTTACATACAATGCATCGATTGGTTTACCACTTTTTTTTGTGCATCCATTTCCTAGTCACTAGTATAATTATATTACATAATAGCTCATATTATCAATCAATAATTGTATAACCTAATATCATCACTAAAAAAAAAACATTTATAATTTTGTTAATTCATATTTTAACGAGATAACTATAATTTGCTTAATTTATTTTGCAATAAATCATAAGATCATACCAAATCTACCTTGATAATGTTTTATAAAGATAATATCAAGAAAAAAAATTTTTTTTTATGCTAAATCGAATATTCTATCATTATGTTTTATTATCTAACCATTGATAAAAAAGATCCCAAACTTCATAAAATTGTTTATCTTCTTGTTCTCTGATTTCAAATGTCAATTTACTCATTTCAGCACAATCCAATATTTTCTTAATAATTTCTTCTTCTGATGGAGTTTTCTCACTCTTCCAGTTCTTAGCAAATACAATCCTAGCCGCTGTTAATATATTTACAATCAAATACTTCAAATTTTTATTATATATATATCAGGTAAGATTCCCAATAAAAAAATCTCTGGTTTCAAGTCTATATGTGTCTTTGTCATTTTTTCCAACCATATGCGGATTTTAGTCCAATATTTTCTAGCGTCCTCACAAGTCCACCACATATGGTAGTATGAGCCAGGTATCTGATGACATTTCCAACATTTTTCAGATTTGTTCTTAAACATTCTTGCAATTGTTGTCGGGGGAAAATGCCACCTGTAAAACATCTTATACAAGTTTTCTTTATAAGCTGTTGACATTGTCATTTTATAATTTTGAGACCACAATTTTTCCCATTTCTCCAAATCAATCCCATATCCAAAATTCTTCCCCCAAACAATCATCGTTTCTTTAACTTGTTCCTCCTCTAATAAAATTTCCAACAAATAAGTGTATAATTTTTTAATCATTTTTTCATCAGTACCTGTCAAGATCCTGTCTAAATCAGTCAATTTATCATAAAATCCCTCCGCTTTAGAATCTATAAGATACCTTGAATGTATTTGCGCATATGAAAACCAATTCATCTTTATGCCTTGTTCTTCTAGTTTTTGCATTGTTTTAAGTTCACTCTTTTCATCCAATATTTCCCCATATCTAACTGTTTGTTCCTTCTCATATATTATAGGATAAGAAAAGGCTTCAATAGTTGATAACCAGACTGGGATTTTCAAATAACATTTTCTCTTAATTTTCTCCCAATTCAACCATAAAGACTCCCTTATATAATGCCTTCTAAAATAGCCCTGCGATTTAGTTCCCTTATACCACAGAAAAGCATGCCATCCCAGTAATAAATCATGCCCCTCTAGTGTCAACAATCTAGTCTTTTTTAATGTTATCCAATCCTTAACCCACATTAAATTTGCAGCTTGGTAATACAACTCCCAATTCGGAAGGCCAAAACCTCCTCTAATTCTAGCATCTTGCAGAAGTTTTAATTTTATTCTGGCTTTCTTACCTTGCCATATGAACTTCAACACAATTTTATTTAATTCTTCAAAGTAATCTTTACCAAGCCTGATTGGTATGGTTTGGAATAAATAAAAAATTCTGGGTAAAATATTCATCTTGATTGTTGAGATTCTACCTATCAATGACAGTTGTAGATTTTCCCATTTTTTCAAATCAAATGCTATCTGTTGTTTAAGTTTAATATAGTTATTCTCTTTCAATGTAGTACATCTTGACGTCAAATATATCCCCAGATATTTAACCTTATTCATAACTTGAATTTTCAATAAATCTGCCAATTCATCTCTTTGTTTTAATAACATATTCTTTGTCAAGATCTTCGTTTTATCTTTGTTTATTTTCAAGCCGGCCATCTCACCATAAATATCTTTTCCAGTAGCTTTAAAGCTGTTCCTAGAGGATCTTCCAAAATAAAAACCAAGTCATCCGCAAAGGCTTGCAATTTAAATCCCTCCTTCTTAATTTTCATTCCTTTTATATTTGGATCC